GTTGGGATGTCTGTGGTTATCTGGATAATGGCGCTGCTTTCGACATCGCCAAGGCTCTTTGAAGTATCTTATGACGTTAGTAGATCTGAGGATCTTTGCTGCACCTGGAACAAAATCTCAGGAACAAGGAGGACTTTTACGGCGCTAACACAACTGGTTCTGAACATAGTTATCCCTTCAGGGATCATGTTAGGCATTTATTTGCACATGCTCTTCAAAACCAGGATCCCCAAAAACCGTGTGTTGCCAAGCGATCGTGCCTTGCGAACGCGACAAGGAAGAACCCGCATGGTGAGGATTGCGTTACTCTCAATGCTGTCCTGCTGGTTGCCGTATCAAGTGTTACATCTGCTCTCCTCGTTTGGCGTTACAGAAATGAACTTCACCACATATCACTGGACGACGGCCCTGGTGTTTGTCACCTCGTGCACTAACCCCTTTATATACGGGGTCACCAATTCCACCTACAGACGGGGTTACTTCGAGATTGCGTTAGGCTGCTGTCCCGTCAAAGTGCACGGTTTCTTGTCACGCCATCTGTCGCTGTCACAAACTCACCATGCTGCGATCTTGGTTCAGTCTATACACGGAAGGCTGAGGCCAGTTTCAGCACCACAGACTTTGAGACAGTCAATAATATTGGACTTAAACCCTTAGGTCAGACAATAACGTCCCAATTTCCACTTCTCATCCACTGTATCCCGGATGGCGCTCCTTAGTTTTGGCAATCATCTTCTGCTACCTGGAACGCAATGGTGGTTTAACACCAAATGTGGCACAATGGGATCAAATTTGACAACATTTTACAAGGTAATAGACAAGGCGCCTGGACCAATAAAACTCGTCTACACGTCTACTAGCCTGATAAGGGACACAGGGGGAGGAAATTGCGCAATTTTCTGGGGCATGAAATTTTTTTCTCACCTTTAGGTTGTGCGTGATTTATTTTTGATATATTTTTTATCAAGTCAAACACATGACCTGGTTAGTAGAACGCGCTTGCTCGAATTTTTTCCCACGGCTCC